CAAATTTCTTCAATAGATATAAAGGGTACGAATACTTATGGGACTGATTGTACATAATAAATGTAGATAGTAGAATTGGCTCTTTAATAAAATGCTTGTGAAACTATCATGCAACAGTTATCCATTGGAAATATCTCTTCATACACGTTTCTTCCTAGAATTTGTTGCTCTTAAAGCTAAGTAGCAACAAGAACAGAATACCTTTAATACCTCCTCCTAGATACTAATTATAAATCGAGCAAACAACTAACTAATTCGTTCTGCTTTCCACATCTTCTAAACGACATCTCCTGGCTACGGTTACGCATCATTGCATAAATAAAAATTTTTCAAACCTTGAACATAAACGCGACACAATAACGAGGCAACGATTACGCAACAAGAATCTCGGTTATTAATCTGGAACGGTTTTTGCGGAGGTAACGATGCTTCGCAACATCCCGTTATTAGGCATCACACTCGTTGCATATAATTATAAAGGATATAACAACGTCCAGAGCATCGATCCGTGGATCTGTAGATCGTCTTGCAGAATAAGGTGCACGGTGCAAGGTCGTCTACTCTTACCGCGGGATTTCTAGCGCCCCTTATCAATCTCATCAGAAGGATACGCGTATCCTTGATCGATTGTGCTCGAATGGGTAAAAATCTGGAGCGTGTCAGGAATTTGTGAATAATTGAACGGGTGCCTGGGAGAAAGACTGATGCTATTAATTTAAAATTCTACAAAAATGAGAAAGAACTATAGAGGGACTATTATCGTACGCTTGCAAGAAAGACTTATGTTAAGAATTTTTGGACAGTGGTTATTTTTAATTACATTTTTCATTGATACACTTAATTATCCATTCTTATGCGATTTGTATATTTACATTTTCCAATCGTGTTTGTTATGTTTTATGTAGTTAAACTCTACAATAGTATCTAATCGTAAAAAGAATTAAAAACATGATATTGGCATCTGTATTATACATAAAATATACATTGCCTGTCCTCTATCCAAGCTGCGCAATCTATATTATACAATATTGGATCATTTATGTTGGACCAGTTTTTGTAAGTTCAGGTAGTAGTGTTGGATCACGAGGACGAATTTAAAATAAGAATTTATGAGAACCTTAATTGTGAGGTCGATCGAACACTGAAAATAGATTTAGCAATGCCAAAATGGAACGTTTTGCAGTGAGAGAAAGGTTCTTCGATTGGCATTGAAACTATACATACATGGTTGCTTGAGAATGTGTTTGCTGACGGAATAGGATTCCGTGTAATATTGTGAATATGAAAGTAAGTGGTAAGAGGTGAACTTTGAATTCGAATCTGATCTTTGAATTGACTTTGTGGCAAATTTAGAAAGTGTGTATATATTACTTGACGAATCAAAATTGAAACTTATTTAGATTTTTTCTTGGCTAATTGCTATAAACTTTTAGAGTTCAATTTTCTCTTTATTAAGTTTAATATTTACCTCTCTTAGTTAAGAAGAGTGTAATGCAAACATTTATTTGTCTTAGAACAAAAATAATCTTCCTCGAAAATTTGAAATTAATATTCCCGTTTTCCGTGATTATTTAACGGAATGAATTCTCGTTAATTAATCTTCTCTTCGGATAATCACGATCGTTACCGAACGTGAAAGACTGACACTTCGTTAATCCTTCGTGGTCTTCGCTTTGAGTAGAATTTCTCAATTTGCATGTGAATTGCGCCGGAAAGCTTACCAAGACTTACTTTCCTTTGTGTCTTGCAAAAGATTCGCAACACTTATGTTTGTGTATATCACGTGTTAGTAAATATAAATATTTTATTTTTAAACTTTGAACTTTTGAAATGGACTAAAAATTCAAGAAACATCGAGTTTACTTGAACAATTTTAAACCATCGATAATCAATATCGTGTTAATCAATATCAAGTTCGTTATATTATTATTCCCTAATTGATATACTAATAATTTTGCTCATTGCATATAGTAATATTCTGTCGATTCTATTGAAGAAATTCAATTAGGCACAATACGCTCGAGCGTGTCAGCGAAGTGTCAGAAACTAGCGATGGCGATTATTAAATAACGCAGCGTGTCTAACAATGTAGTTTAGGTTCATAAAGTAAAAGTAACAACCGATTTAATTTCCACATAGCATGTGCTACCTGCATAACGAAAATAATGTTTTGAATTTTTACTTACGTGGTCGTTTCTTTCATAAACTCCTATTCTAAACCTCTAAAGATGGCGAAGTGGGTCAATGGGCAACAGAAGAACTTAATTCAAGCAATCCTGCTTTGCGTAATTGGATGTCGAAATATTGTAGCATAACAACTCTGAAATTACCCGTGTCACAGTGGTCCAATCTTAACATTTTTCTTGCAATATCTATACTGGAATTAAAACAGATTTTTCTTCGATTTACAACTTCTTTTGAAATAATACTTTCATTATAGATATTAGGGAACTGAAGTCTTAGGTGTGAATTTATTAAATTTAGCAACTATCATTTCTCATGGATGTGATTAATAATAATTTACACAGTAACAAGTACCATGTAAATGAAACATCCTGCATGAACACAGGAAAAATATTTTCATGTTATGAGGGTTCCATTTATCAAATTTGAAAAGGAGAATGCTTGCTGTATTACTGACTTGGAAATTAGCGTTTCCTCGCGTGAAAGCTTTTCTTGTCTCATCCATTATGGAAGACTGAGACAGATAGGAGCTAAGAGTGGACGTATGCTTGTATGCCCAGATTGCAATCCTGTTGCAGGTTTTAGTTACGCCGAGTATGTCCCATTGCACCGACTCGCCGCATTACGTGCATTCTGTTGCATCACTGTTGTCCATGTCGTTGCCATTAACGCGTCGAAGCGAGATATTTTGTGGTCTACTGGTGGTTATCGTACCGATTCTAATCGGTAGGAAATTGCAACTATCTTTGAGGACTTTTGCGCGTGTGTAATTTTATCCACGACTTTTTCATTCGCAAAGAAAGTCGAGTATTTATTCAGGAACAAATAAAAGGGTATCAAATGGTTTTAAATTCATTTGCATTAATATTCAATAGGCAATATTAAAATTTACATTTTGTGAATATTGTCGAATGTTAATTGAATTCGTGTCTGGGTTAATTGAATTTTTATCATTTGAGAATTATATATAAGGAAGGAAGGTTACTTCATATTGCTCAGTAATATTATTAGTAATGTAGTTTTGAATATATTATTACATTTAAATTAAATGTATAAGTAATACCGATTGTATAATGACAAAGAACTAAAAAAATACAACAAAATTTGTGAAATAATATGCTTAAAAAACAATTTCTTGCTTTCATTCGTACCTGTTTTTAACTATTGTGTTTGTAATATAATTATATTGTAACTTATTATACAGTTTCTTTATGTTTATAATTTAAAATTCATCACACATTTGATAACAATATTAGTCAAGTATTGCCTATCATTCTATGATTATCGCTTTGTTCATAGATTTCCTTCCTTATTAGTATTCTAAAGATAAATAAAAATTTATTTAAGTCTCTCTAGTCAAAAATGAGTACATAGATATTTTTAGATTTTCTTTTATAAAAACTTTTATAAATAGTCTCA